AAATCTGGTGCAAAAGACTTCTTTAAAGTGTTGCAGAGCAAAGATGTCTCCTTGAAGACTAAGGTGCACCTGACACAAGCCATGGCATTTTCAGTTGCCTCATATGCATGTGAGAGCTGGACAATGAATAAGGAAACCAAAGAAGAGTTGATGCTGTTGAGTTGTGGTGTTGGCAAAGAATACTGAAAGTATCATGGACTGCCAGAAGAACAAACAAATCTGTCCTGGAGGAAGTGCAGCAGGAATGCTTCTTGGGAGTGAGAATGGCCAGACTTCGTCTTACCTACTTTGGTCATGTTGTCAGAAGGAACCACTTCCTGGAGAAGGATATCATGCTTGGTAAAGTGGAGGATCAATGAAAAAGGGGAAGGCCTTGAGCGAGATGGGTTGACACTTGGCTGCAACAATGGGCTCAGGTATAGCAAGGATTGTGAGGGTGGCACAGGATAGGACAGTGTTTTGTTCTGTTGTACAAGAGTCTCTATGAGTCGGAGGCAACTCGATGGCACCTAACAACAATATGTTGTGCTACAAAAACGAAAAATCATAAAAAGGTAGTTATCCTTTTCCCTAGGCATCATTTTCCTATTTCAAAAGAAAAAGTCTTTCATCGAAGTATTAAGTAGAGGATCCCAGGCAAATGTATCTAGGACCTAGATTTCTCACATAGATAGTCTCTGCTTTTTCCTTTTGATGACAGTCCCTGAATTACAAATGAATTCCTTTCCTAAGTCTGTCTTTAAGTATAATTTGAATTTAAGTTGTATCTAATGTCAGTTAGTCAAATGTTTGTCTTAGCATATAGTATATAATGTATCATTCCATGCATAAAAAACATTAAAGAAACACTTCTAGATATACTAAAACATCTTTAACATAATACTGTAGTTATAATAATAATGATTTGTTGAGTTTCACAAATTAGTGCCCCTTTGTTATTATGAGCCATTTTATGTACCTGGATTTTGAACATAATAAACGTTATAAGGTTTGGTTTGTAACTATTGAAGTTGAACTCATAACCCAAGTGCTACCCCATGGTTTGTCTTTCTGATATCAAGGATACCAGAAAGAAGAAATATATATTATAATCATGTAACATCACCTTAGGGTGATTTCTTTGAATAAAAAGGTCTTCTCCATGCCTGATTGGAGATTACTTCAGAATACTGGGAATGCTAGCTCATGCTGTTATTTTTTCTTGGAATAAAAGTAAAATTCCTTACTACTGCCTAAAAGGCTCTGTATAATCTGGCCCATCCGATCTCTGTGGTCCTTTTCCTACCTCAGTCCTTCTCACTCCTCAGCCCTGTGGCCTTCTTATTCCATCAGGCCTTTGCTCTTGCCAGATTGCCATAGCCAGTTTGATCCTGGCCTGTAGACATCTGTTCCCAGTTCTTTGCATGGATAGCTTACCAATTTCATCCAGATCTCTGCTGGAATATAACTTCTCAAGAGGCCAGCTATGTTTACCATATCCCAGTTAGCCATCCTCACCCTCCATGCTCCACATATTCTGTCAGTCACTTGTTCCTTTACTTTGCTTCATGTTTTATGTTACATATCATTACTTGACATTATATATTATCTCATTTGTTTATTTGTTGTATGTTTGATCTCTAGAATACATGTTTCATGAAGGAAGGGACTTTTACTAGTTCATTATGGTATATTTTGTTGTTTAACAATTTCTGGTTTATGGTAGGCACTGAATAAATAGATGTGAAATAATAAAATAAATAGATGTGAAATAAATCTGAATCAGATTTTGAAACTCTAGGAGCTCTGGTAGCATAGTGCCTAAGGCACTTGACTGCTAACCAGAAGGCTGGCGGTTCAAACCCACCAGCCACTCCTCGGAAGGAA